CCCTGCGCGGCCTGGAGTGCCCGTCTGCGGGAGCCCTGTGCTGCAGGAGAGGAGGTGGCAGGGAGAGGCACTGCTGGCACCATGGCCTAGGGTGGGCTGAAGGTACCCACGCGTGAGTCCTGCCCGGAGGAGATGCTGTGACCGCGGACGGGCCTGGCTGGGGATGGCGGAGCCTGCAAGGCTGGGCAGGTCGGGGTGTTTGTCCCTTGGACCCGGGCGTTGCGCTTCCTGCTCAAGCATTGGCATCCTGCTCGGGCGGAGCTGCCACGTGTCTCCTGGTGTCCCCGTGGGGCCTGGGGACACGCTCACCACTCACCAGTGGGAACAGTTCCTGGGGACCACGGGAACTGGGCCAGACTAGCAGGCCACTCCAGAGGCAGCAAAGGTTGTCCTTGCTGCCAGAGGGGAACCTTCTTCGTCCTGGGGCTGTGCGGGGCTGCTGCTCAGCAGGACACCCCAACATAGGTCCCGGGGGCTCGCCCTAGGCCAGGGTGCCTCAGCTCCATGCCTGGACTGCTGTGGACCCGGGAGCAGGTAGAGGTGCTGAGCAGGTCGTGCATGCCTGCTTGTTCTGGTCTGGGCGTGCTGAGGGGGGTTGAGGTGAGAAGGGGCTGAGAGTGGCTCCAGCAGCAAAGTATCCCCCTTGGCATGCTGGCTCTTCCCTGTGCGAGGCAGCAGCACCTTGTCCTGCTGCAGGAGAGGGGATGAGGCCCCTTGCCTCTCCCTCATGATGGTGCCCTGCTGCCCGCTAAGCTCAGTGCAGCGCCAGGCTCCAGCTCTCTGACCTGCTTCTTCCCCTCTTTCCGCCAGGTTCTCCTCGCCCCCACTCTGATGCCCGTCCCGCCCTGCCATGAGTCTATGAGCCCCCTCCGGATCAGCGTGGGTGGTCTGCCTGTCCTCGCGTCCATGACCAAGGGTGCTGACCCCCGCTTCCGACTGCGCTGGAAGGCCATCGTGCTGTCATCAGCCTGCGTGGGCTTTGTGCTGCTGCTCTTCTGCCTACACCGGTCTTCGCCGGCACGGCACAGCCCACCCAATCCTCACAACTGGCAGCTCAGCCTGCAGGCAGGGGACCGCTACAATGACACCTACCCACTGTCCCCACCCCAGAGAAACCCCGAGGGCATGCGCTACCGCATCGGAGTCATTGCGGACCTGGACACACAGTCCCAGGGCTCTGAGGAGCACACCTGGTTCAGTTACCTGAAGAAGGGCTACCTGGTGCTGTCGGACAGCGGGGACAGCGTGACAGTGGAGTGGGACAAAGATGAGAGCGTGCTGAAGTCCCACCTGGCTGAGAAGGGCAGGGGCATGGAGCTCTCCGAGTTAGTTGTCTTCAACGGGAAGCTGTACACCGTGGACGACCGGACAGGAGTGGTTTACCAGATTGAGGGCAACAAGGTGGTGCCCTGGGTGATCCTCCCGGATGGGGATGGCACAGTGGGGAAAGGTGAGCTCCCCCATCCTGCCCTGCAGATGCAGAGCAACGAAGCCCTTGGCTGTTTCTGGCTTGCCGGGGTGGGGTGCACCTTTTCTGTGGCCCTGTAAGCCTGTCTGGGACGGGGGCAATTCTTGCCTGAGGACCGGCTGGCTGCGTGGGGGAAGGCGGTGCCCAACACTGGGCTGTCTGGTGTAGCTTTAGGAGGAGTTGGGGGCAGTCTGATGTCCATGTGTTGGCCGAGCCCTGGCTAATGCTGTTCTCTCCACTGCAGGCTTCAAGGCGGAGTGGCTGGCGGTGAAGGATGAGCACCTCTACGTGGGGGGACTGGGCAAGGAGTGGACCACCACGACAGGGGAGGTGGTGAACGAGAACCCCGAGTGGGTAAAGGTCATCGGCTACAAGGGCGATGTGGGCCATGAGAACTGGGTGGCGAACTACAACGCGCTGAGGGCTGCAGCAGGGATCCGACCCCCAGGTACTGAACCAGGCTCCCTCCTGCTACCCTGTGTCCCATACCCTCTGCGGGCTCTGGGGCTGAGGTCTCCCTCCCCATAGATACTGGGACTGGTGTGAGATTTAAAGGATGCTGGAGGCCAGAGACATCGCCCTGTCCTGGTAGAGGCCAGAGCCTGCCCTGGCCGGTTTTCTCCCCTGTGTGTACCATGAGCAGCTGGAGGGC